CCCAGCCGCGGTAAAAGGGACGTTCGCATCTGCGCTGCACCTGGGCGAGCCCGAGCGGCCGGTGGAAGGCAGAAGAGAGGGGACGGGAGGGGGGCAGCCCAATGGTAAGTTCGAGCCTTCGGTGCTGTCCCGTTTTTTTTGGGCAAAAAGCCCACGTGTGGAGGATGTTTCCATTGTTGGGAAAACCATGCGTGGTCGGATGTATCGTATTTCGGACGTGAGGTTCCCGTTCCTCGGACAACTTTTTCAGTTTCCAAGAGGTGGTGCCAAGTCGTTATGCAAGTGCATGGGCCATGCCTTGGATGTCAGGGAGACCCCAAATGAAAAGACTAGACATGAGAAGTTCCCTGATGCAATCTTGGTGGCATCCATGCAGGATGTGCTGTTGTGGTCGTGAAGGCCTTTCAAACCCTCAAAAGCTACCATCAGATTGGCACTCACCTTTGTTTGTTCCACATTGGCCATGTACTGGAAGCTCCTTCCGTTAAGAATCGCTAAAATGATCTGTCACTATGCAGAGGACCCTCAAGCACACCCCAAAAGAATTGCAAAAGTTAACAATCTTTCTGGTGTCCGATTTGAACTCCTTTAGCAAGGGTCGCTGGCAGATCACTGTTAGGTGCCAACCTTTAACGGATGATGGGCCCCAATTGTGTTGTTGCCATGTTCTATTGCGCTGCGCAGTTGCTTTGCACATATTATACTGTGCTTCTAAGCCACCAAAAGGTGCTTGTAAAGGCTAGCCTGCTAGAGTTATTGTGTCATCACCGTGAAGGAAAGCATGTGCATTTGTTCAGGTTTCATACGCCTGCACGCAAGTGGGTTAAATCTCTTGATTCAAAAGTTGTCGTTTTGTTCTCAATTACCGCTGATGATCTGAAAAGGCACCTCTCATGCCTTGTGAGGCATCTCTCACCAAGCTCCCCAGCTCTCCGTGCTCTTTCCTGGGCCACCAGGCCAAAAGGCACAGCTGTCTATCTCGCCATGTTGAGCTTTGAGCCAAGGGGCACCCGACCCATCGGCGTCCAAGTCCAAGTCCACACACACCCCGTTGGACGCATGCGGTTCAGTGTCAAGCTGCCACCGGTTCATGTAGACCGACCCGCTGCTGTTGGAAACGTATACCGACCATGAAAGCCGTAAGGAATCTTGAACACCTTTTTGGAGAAACGCCTTAGCAAAAATGGCACCCCTTGAGACCCGTTGAATCACGCACTGAAGGTTGAACTCGGGAGTTGATTTAACAAAAAACATGCAAAATCAATTCACACGTGAGGTCATGTCTTGATTTCGTCCTGGTCTTTAGGACTGTAGGCGTAACAACATAGCCATGATCAGACAGGTGTCCCTTGGAATCGATTCTCTGACGAATTCCTTGACCTCTTCGGCGGCCGTCGTCGTCGGGCGAGGCGGCACCCGAGTCGCATGAAGTCCTCGTTCTGTGCAAATTCCGGCTTCTTGAAGGCTTCCTGCAAGCCGTTTTGGATGGCAAAAGTCTTGACTGTGTCAATGGTCCGCAGCTCAGTTCCAGGAATGTGGATCATGACCTGTGTCTTTAAGGAGGTGTTTCTGAGGTCTTTGAGCTTCTGGATGCTTAAGGGCTCAAGCTGTTTGCAAGGTGCGACCACCTCATTTCATGACTCACCTGCCATCCAGGCCCCCTGGACATCTACTCGTCCACCCTGGAATCATGGAAGTGGATGGCACCTCCTGTTACGTATTCGGATTGCATCGTCCATTTTCCACTTCCATGACGGTTCCAGGGAGCAGCGCTATTTCCCCTTCCGCTCCAGCATGTCAAAGACGCCCTTCAAGTCTCCGCGGAAGCCATACTTTGGCAGCACCTGGCTCTGCACCTGGCGCACCACCAACGGACTTTCGACCAACCCCGCAACCGACCGGAGTCGACGGTGCGTTGCGGAGGAGGTCGACCGTGAGTTCACGTGGGATGATCCAAGGTCCCGGGCGGAGAGGAAGAGCTCTTGTCGCAGGAGGATGAGCTTGGGATCCTCCGCGGGAACGCGGGCAGAGGGGAGTCACCGTCTCCGGGGGTCGTTTCCTTGGCGGTGTTTGCTTCCGAGAAAAAAACGGCTTCTCCGTCCACGGTCCAACGATGTGCTGAGAGTTAGACCAGAAGAGATGATGATGATGATGATGATGATGATGATGATGATGATGATGATGATGATGATGATGATGATGATGATGATGATGATGATGATGATGATGATGATCTTGTTTACTTCTTCCAGCACCCAGGGCACTTGCGAGGTTTCGGTGATCCTGGTGATATTGGGTCCATACTCATCCTAATGATATGGCTGGTCAAAACTAGGAGACTGCAAATACATGCAAATACCTTGGTTGACCTGCCTGGCAAGTCAAGCGTCGTAGGTGTTGGGAGTTGGGAGTTCCAGGTGGAACGACCCATCCCTATGACTCTTCCAACTGGGCGATGGAAACCCTGTAGATGCCGAACACCGCCACACCGCATGGACACCTTGCTGTGGAAGTTCTCCAAGTTATCCAGCCTCGCGGTCCCCGTATTTGGCACGGATGAGATCGGAGCGGAGAGGGCGTCGTTCGTTCTGGGGAGAAGAAGGTTCCAAGGCACCTGCCCTGGTGGTTGTGGGCTTTCAGGTTCTATCTGCCTCTCACAAAGGGGGAGAGATTGCATGGCAGGTAGTGGTCGTCGATGTCCCAGATTTGATCACAAATCAATTCGACTATAGCCACTAGCGGCTCGCGCAAAGAGAAGCTGTGGCAATAAAATCCTCGAAGACTGGCCCAACCACCAAACTCTTGCCCTACTAATGTCGAAAAGGGTTCTTCAGCTTGAAGAAAACGTTCACGTTGCACCAGAGCTTGACTCAGGTTTGCAAAGGGATTTTCCAAACAAGTTCTACCACACATGCATCATGGCCGGTTTGCACTTTTCGGCATGTTTTTGTTGGACGGCAAAAACAGCATACAGCACCCCGGATTGATGCCATTGTTTAAGAACAAAACATCCAACACCGACCGACCCCTCGTGCCAACCGGTGTGCCTCTGTTGGAAGCTGGGCGCTGAGAAGCCCTGGTGAAGCTCTCGCTGCAGTGCCACCGCTTGCTGAACACTGAGCTCCGGTACACCTGGGTTCAAGCTGAGCTCCGGTGGCGGACCACTCGCCCTGGAGGGCCTTCGCCGAGATTGGCAACAGGAGATTGGTGGAAAACAAGGATTGTGGGTCAGGAACCTATATATAAATCAACTGATATATACATATCCCTGGATTTCTTGGCCTTTTCTATTTGGCCGCCTCTTATATTCCACGGTCTTTTTCTGGCTTCAACATCTGGTCGAGTCTTCTCGGCTCCCACACCTTCTTCTTGCACTTCCTCTTCGAGCTCCACCGGCGGCCGACCCAACAAGCCGCTGCCCACGGGCGCCTGCGCGCCAAAACCAAGAATGGTGCAAAAGAAGCCGTTTGCTCAAGAAAAAGGGATATCCAAGAAGGCGTTTTAACAAATATATAGGTATATGTGATACACGGAAAAAACAAAAAAACACGTACACATGCTACCAGTCAATTCCTTTTCAATGGCCTCCAACATGACAACCCACCCAAATGCCTTCCCCCACGATCCAGTGCTCACGGCGTACGGACCTTCTTGGGTCCAGCGAGGCCGAACAACTTTCCGGGATCCAGTCGAAGCCGATCCTCCACACCTCAGGGAGACAGTGCCATGTGCGACCTGGGAGGTGTGGAGTGTGGAGAAATGATCAGGAACTTCAAGAATCAAGATGAATCAAGAAATGTGTGTTATCATTATACTACTTTGTTTAAGAATGTTTAAGACATACTCTTCCGCAAGTGTGACTGCTAAGGCCGGTCAACTACTGGGCGCGGCACTGCTTGCAAGCTCCCGTGTAGCTTTGTCATTGGCGTGCGTCTGCAGGAAGGAATGGGTCAGTCTGGGATCCACACCGTCTTGACATTCATACAAACCTTTGGGGGGGCTATGGGGACACTATGTGGAGACAACACACACCCAAATGGATTGAATATAAAAGTAAAAGTAGCTCGATCTCCGCGCTGAATTGGGGAGCGTCTCGTGTCTTGCACACGGGAAGGGACTGGGACTGGCACTGCCTCTGCTTTGCAGAACAACCCGAGAAGTTCACCCCTGTTGTTCCAAGAGAAGAACAATTCAGATCAAAAAAGGCAAAACACGTTAGCGCCATGGCCTCCTCCAGCAACGCGGGGTCACATGAAAAGCCAAACACTATATATGCAATACTGATTGCCCCACACATTTCACCTCTAGCCTTTACATGCGTGCACGGCACGCACCGGGGATCTACCGGGAAAATTCGCCGGCCTTCACCGTGTCCAGAAAGCGCTGGAGCTTCCAGTTCCGCCCAACGCCCACCAGATCCGTCACCTTCTGGAGTGCCTCGATGACGACGGTTTTTTCAACGGGGGCAACAAGGGGGGCACATGGTGTCGTTGTTTTTCATGACACCAAGGAAGGGGTCCGGTTTTTGTGTCTTTATTTCTCGAAAGTGCATCGATTTCATGGGAGGCATTGGAGGCATCCTGCCACTGCTTTGATGTGGGGAATTGCCCAGGCCAACAGGAAAAAGGTGCCACACTCCAAGAAAGAAATCTCCATCGGCTGGCCAACACATACATCCAAATCACCCAAAAAACAATCACCCAAAAGCGGCGGGTTCCGTTCGCCACGCACGGTCGCTGCGCGTTTCCGCTCAGCGCAGGCTCCGTTCTTCGCGCCTGCCCCATCAGCTGGGTCAAGCCCAGTTGCAAAGCAACACCTCCGCCTGAGGACGAGGAGCGGAAGGGTCCGAGGCACGCTGCCATGGGTGGCGGACGGGGGCCGTTGTCCAGGGAGGAAAGCAAGAACGTCCCCAAAAGACCTACAAGACATAAACAAGCAGACATGTGACATATTTATAGACAGACCCCAAGCTGCAGGGCCAATTCTTCACACACATCCATTCACTGTGTGTGTGTGTTCAGTCCAGCTGGAAGAAGCACCCTCACACGACACCCGCTGAGCTTCTGGCGATCGATTAACTTCTGCAGCTGCGCTTGGACCTCCTCCTGAGGAGCTGGCAAAATCCAAAAAAGGGTAACATATCTATCATCGCAGCAATTCCAAAAAGGGTGTTTGGTGTATGCTTCGCGCTCGTTCGCGCGAGTTTGCCCTGCCCCTCCTGCGCGCAGGCCTTTTCAAACTCCTGAGCGTCCCGAGTCGCCGGGTCATCGCTGGACAGCTCGCCGATGTCTCTCGGTGGTTTCAAGAGAAACTCTTCACTATGCACCTTCTAAACACCTTTCAACCTAATTACTCCATGATTCGCAGAAGTATGTCGCAACCCACTCACTTGACTTTCCAATCCTCCCCCCCGAGCCATGCTCCCCAAATTCAAGCCAATTCAGATCAGCCCAGTTCGCACCTCCAGCAGTTTGCGCGTGAGCTCCACTGAGACAGGGCCACTGGACACCTCCTGCTCCACCAGCTCAACCCCCAGCAACATCAGCTCCTCTCGCCGATGCCCTTCGTGCGTCCAGCCGACGATCTCATCGTCCTGGTGGCAACGAAGGTCCGCAGGCCACACAGTGGGGAGGGTCTGATGGATATCTGCTTCCGTTCCTGAGTATAGATGCTCAGTCCATCTTTGACAGCTCACTAAAATGATCTACGGGGTCATGACCCATTGCAAATCTCACGGAGTCATTGTCTCCATTCTCCCCTCCCGAGGCATCCTTGAAGGCCACCCATGGTGCAGTGCCAGTGCCCGCTTTGAAGACGAAGCCTTGGATCAAGAGGCCAAGTATTCGCTATTGGTTCCTTCACTTGAAGGGGGTATTTAAAGGCCAACATGTGCAAGAGTCTTAGTTAGTCTTGATGCCACCCCAGTCTTGTTCTCTGATTTTGGAGAGTATCCTTTACGAGAGGCCAAGTCAAGAATGCTTGGCTCAGCCAGGAAGCGTGCCCTCTTCTGGATCTCCTCACGCCGAAGCTTCTTGGCCAGCGCATCGCGGACTGCTGCAAAGGTCCAGTTGCTCCAGATCTTTAGTTGAACTTCGCCTCCCACGCTAAGTTTGGTCCCCCAAAGTGAGGACCGCCCAGCCACGGGAGGTTCGAAGTCCGATATTTTGGTTGACCCTCCGAAACTCGGACCCACCGTTTAGCCACTGCATCCTAAGCAATCTGAGAGACTTGGCTGTGTATGGTTTTGGGGACCTTGGGGCCGGTTTGACCCCACCGCACCTGGTTCCACCGCATGCTTGATCGTGATCTCGTATTCTTGCGGCGGCCGCGGCACTGGCTTGGGCTTGGGCTTCGGCGTCGGCTTCGGCTGGAGCTGCGGAGGTGGCGGGGGCATTGGAGTCTGTGGAAGGTCGTTCACCCGCGGCGCTGCTTCCAGCTCTTCATGCACTCGGCTCCTCACCGAGTAGGGCTGCGGTCTTGGAGGCCCCTCATCATCGCTCTCTCCCTTCAGTGGTCGAGAAGGGGGTCGGCCCACATCCGCATAAGGGTGCACTGGTGGCATGGGCTCATCTGGTTGGACGGTCTGAAGGTCCGCACCCAGCACCAAGACCTGTCGCGTCTCACCCACGAAATCATCATCCTGCAGCAGGCCGGATGGAGGAGTTTGGATGGCAGTGGAAGGCCGATGGCCTTTAGACATGTTGTGTTCTAGAGGGTTAAGTGACTTAGATATCATTAGCAATTGGTGTTCTACTACAAGCTCAATATGGAAGAAAGGATCTGTCGTCTGCAAAAGTTCAGATTGAGACGTGTTGAGGGAAATCCCAGTCCATCATCCAATCAATGCAGCAGAAGTGCACCTTAGCCGCCCCAGCCTTGTAGGCTGAGTAGAGTCCGCCTTTCTTCTGCACTAACCTGGAGGTGTGCGGTGAAGGAAGACCTTTCGAAGATTGGACAACCATCAGAACACCACATCCCTGGCCAGCCCAAGTAAAGTCTCCTGAAGGTCCACTAGATCAGCTTCATGACCACTCTGCTATATAAATGGGTGCTGTCTGATCTTTCCAAACCCCCCATCCCCCCATCCCAGCCTTCCCTTGCGCAGGATCTCATCTCTGCCTCGGCGGAACGGCCGAACGGCCATCATCGCATGATCGCCACGTCGGCGTCGGCGCATGTCGATCGACACCCGGGCGTCCCGGCCCAGGAGCTTGGAGATGGCCTCGGGGGAGAAGGCGTGGTTTGGCGTGCTTTTCCATGTGCTTTTGGTGCTGGATTGGGAGGTGATGAACATCAGAGAATCGATTGAGAATCTACATAGGATGGGTGCTGTTGAGGGAAAAGATTCATGGTCGGATGTTCTATGATGGGGATGTTGGAGATTGTGATGTTCCCAAGAATGGGAAAATGGAGCTCCGAGCCTGCTTGCAGTCGTAGAAGGTTGCATTTTGCGGCAGCTCCACTCTGACCTGACGGGAACCAAGGAGCCAACCTACCTGGAACTCCGGACTAGAGGTGTGCTGCGCACGTCATTCTGACACAACGGTGAATTCATAGCTGGCAGTTTTCTCACAACTTGCTACTTGCTTATCTTGCTTTCAGGGTCTAAATCCAAAGAAATAACAAATCCGAGCATTGAAAGCATCAGGATCCATATCTTGCGTTGGCTTCAAAGCCCAACTTCAAATTGAAAGACGATGAGGTCTTGCGGCCGCTCAGGGCTGCAGCGGAAGTCGCCGAGTCCGCGGTGGGTGCCTTGCCACCCAAGGCATCCTCATACCATGCACTCACCTGATCCCAGTTGACCACATCCCACCAGGCCTTGATGTAGTCTGGACGGCGATATTGGTATTTCAAATAGTAGGCATGCTCCCACACGTCGCAGCCCAAGATTGGGATGCCTGCCGTGCCCTCAACTCCATCCATCAAAGGGTTGTCCTGATTGGGGGTCGAGGTAATGGCCAGCTTCTTGTCATCAGTCACAACCAACCAAACCCAGCCAGAGCCAAAGCGCGCCCCGGGAGCTCCTGCTGCCTCGAACTTTGCCTTGAAGTCATCCATTGACCCGAAGGAGTCGTCAATGGCCTTCGACAACTTCTCCGATGGTTTCCCTCCCTTGCCAGTAGGTGCCATCTCCAACCAAAAGAAGTTGTGGTTGTATGCACCTCCACCACTGTTACGGAAGGCAGCCCCGTCCTTGATTGCCGACTTCTGCAGTTCCACAAGGGGTGGCTGACTCTTTCCTTCCATTGCCTTGTTGATGTTGGTCACATAGGTCAGGTGATGCTTGTCATGGTGGAACTCCATGGTCGCTTTGTCAATGGAAGGTTCCAGCGCATCATAAGCGTAGGGCAAATCTGGCAAATCATATGCGCGAGCAGATTCGCTCAGCAAACCAACCAGCCCAGTGGCTAAGCCGGCTGCCATCTCACGCCTGCTGGCCCCCTGTGGACTTACGAAGCTGCAGTGCCAGCAGCACAGTAGCATCGCAGCTACCAGCAGGGCTGCACCACGGAATCGACGAGCCATTGTTGGAGTTCCAGCAATCGGCACCTGGACCTTGAGCAACTCAACGGCTGGACAAAGTTTGGATGGACTTCCTGGTTTTGCAACGCTTTCGTGTGGTTTAATTGACAGACAAGCTCCTAGTTACCACCAGTACGCATTCTGGTGCAGGTTCGGAAAAAGGGCTATCAAAATAATGCCGGCCCTGTATATAAAACACATGACGTTCTTAGATGTCCTTCGTCTCCTTTCCGAAACAAACGACCAAAGTGAGGGCCCATGCCTCTACGTTGTCCACTGCATGCCGCGCCACAACCTGTACAAAAGTCACAAGTCCCATTTTGCTCTGCCCAGCAACCATGCAACCAAGCCAAGAATCCCCCCTAAAACGAAGAACATCTCAGAGTTGAAGAAAATCACGGAATTTATGCACACCCCTTAGGTTTGAGATGAGTTGACTCTTCTACAAGCCTATGAACCTACTAGCGATGGCCTCCACCCTAGTAGCAATGGCCTCCAACCTAATAGCGATGGAAAAAGAACGGTGACCATCCAGAGTCGTTGATAGACGGAACGTGCGCACCTCAATGCCCCCAGCTCGGCCCACGGCCGGCGCCGGTTTGGGCGCGGCCGGGCGACCCGCCGCTTTCGGCTTCGGCGGATCCGGCTCCAGGGGCGGATACTCGGGCTCCTGAGAGAACCGAGGGAGTTGTGATGTGTGTGTGGTTTGTGTGTTGTTCTTTCTTGCGGAAGTTTTGGGGCTTCAACGAGATTTAGGGGTTTAGGGTTTGGGGTGTCCAGGGATTTCTAATGGGTTTTGCCAAACAAGATCTTCCTGAAGATTGTCTTGTCTTAGATTCAAAAATGGTCCCCTAAGGATGAAAGTCATGAGTCATGACTCAAAATGACTCTCATGACTCATGACCCGGAAACTGCCTATACTAATGTGTATATCCCAACTTGATGTTGGTCACAAGCCAAAGAGAAGGCAGTCCCAAATCCCACACACCCTGTGATCAGACCGGGTGGAAACCGCTTTGAACGGAATCGATCTCCTGGCCCGGCTCGCCGGGGATGCCAAAGAAGGCGCCGGGAGGCATGCGCAAGAGGCGTTCCACCTGGGTTCGCAAACCCGACCGGTTCATCGCTGACGTCGGTCTCTGATGAGAAGACTATTAAGAATACACATTGATTACACATGGTGAGTCAAACTTCAGCACAATAACCACACTACTGTCTGAACATTTTCCGTAGGCGTCTCCTGCTTTCCGGGCATACACAATGTAATGTGAAGATGCAGGGTTGTGACGTTACGCAAAAGTCAACGAAAACAAAAAGCATGAAGCACATAAGCTACTAGTAACAAGTGCATCGCTATTAGTAACAAGGGCATTACTACTAGTAACAAGAAGCTACGAACGTAGCTTCTGCACTCGTCGATTGGAATGGTCCATCTGGTCTGGTCTCCGGTTTTTTGCAAGGTTTGGAGACGGTTACCACGTTCTTCGCATCGTTTCGGATGCCTCGTGAGCCTGTGCTTTCACGTGGACGTTCCAGGCATGCTTGCCGATTCCTCTGGCCATGTCCTGGTAGCCCTCTGTGGTCAGAGGGAAGTCATACATCGCCTCACCGGTCAAGCGATGGGCAACACGGCGACGGTGACGCATCGATGTTCGCTCGCTTCCCAGCGAAGAAGAAGGCTTTGGAGGATCAACCATCACTCCCAAATACCTTCTTCTCATCATTTCTCATCATTTGACACGCCCCAAGACCACCAGCAATCTCGGCCAGGTCACCATCGTCCGATTGAACGACTGCGCAATGAAAATCGGCTGCATCTTTTGAACGGAATCCGGCCCTGGCGCGCATGGAGCGGCCCACCCGCCGAGCGGCAACCAAAGGCCGCCCCTTGGGGTGGATGGGCCCCTTTTTGAGCGTCTGCCAAAACGTGATGTCAGGTAGAGATTCAGCAATGGCAATGGTTGTCGCTTTTAAGAGGGGCCTATCGCTTTTGCAGGTTTTAGCGACGCTGGTGAAATTCACAACTGCTCTTTACTAAATTAGTCATAGCACGTTTTAGCGGTTCCTTATCTCAGGGGTCTCAGCTAAAAATGCGTATAAGGATCCCAACAATGCATTGAATCATCTGGCGCCCATGGTTTTTTGGCTACTTGATGACCCTCACTAGCTGGGAGATGCTGGAAGCATTGTCTAGTCAACTCCTCAGGTGGGTTTTCCCGGTTCTTGATGAAGCAAAAAGAGCATGCTTCACCTGGAGACCTCGGAGATCCCCAAAACCAAACCCTCGGTTTCACCAAGAAGATCGCTTTGAAACCCATGCTCCTGACTCCGAGAGCCCTCTTGGCCGCGCTCAAACGAACCAAACGCCGCCTTGCTTGTGAATGTTGCCCAGAGTCCGCTGGAACTCCTGCCCAAACGCACTGCAAAATGCTGCAAAACGTTCGTTGCAGCTCCTTTCCGTCCTTTCCTTTTACAAGAAAAACATAGAACTGATAGAACACTGATTTCACAGATGCCAAAGGTTGACACATCCTTTCGTTCCTCTCCTTCGAGCTGGCGATTTCCCGAAACGCCTGGAACCCGCGGTCGGGGAGGACCGGTCCGGAGCGCGGGCGGTCCGAAGCGAAAAGCGACGGAGGCCGGAGCTCCGATAGGGTATGAAATCAGCGGAAAAGGTCCATGAAAGAGAATGATAAGCTGAAGACTACCCCGCAATTGTCTGATCTACACTGTGTCATCCTGTCCAATGTCAAACCCCTCCCAAAACCGAAGCTCCGACGCCTTCAAAAGGCCGACGATGAACCAGGTGCAACCCTTCAACGTTGGTCCCTTTTTCCCAAGCAACTTCCTGGATTCTCTCCCCTTGCGCCCCAAGCCCGAGCCGCACGCCTTCAGGAGCTCTTTGGCCTCGCCTAGGTTCAAGGGCCGATCCCGTGTGGCTTTCGGCTCCGCGTCGTTGGATTTGGGCACCTGCCGCGGGGTCGGTCGGGCCCGGTATCTCCCGTGGCTTCGTGGTCGGACTGGGTGGGCCTTTCATGATAGTTCAAGCATGTTAAGACTGAAAGAAAAGCGCTTCACAGTAAGGATGCCCTTTCTTGCCATCAAAAAGTCTTTGATGGTCTTTGCATGGAACGCGCTCAGTGTGGTCGACTGCTTGCAGGACGAGCAGAGACTCACCGCAGTGCATGATGTCGACGGCGGAGTGTTTTTTTACGGACGACATCAGACGAGCTCAACTTCGGGATGGGGCTTTGCCAGGAAATTATGTCACATGTCACAAAGGAGCGGAGCCCGCAACATCGCTAATCAGGCCCCAGTCAGTCACTCAATTCATCCAGTGGTTGCAAAGATGGAGATTCTCTGGACCTACAATCAAGGGCTTTGCTCCTCATCTAGTGATAACATGTGATAACTTGGATCTGCTTGGAGGTGGTTGGATATTCCTGTTCAACACGTGCTCACACGGGGCCCGCTGCATTTGTGCTTCCTGGGAATGATCCTGGCCTTGGCTAATTGAGCCGCATGCGGCTGGTGAAACAGGATATTGTATCCCTTGCAACAGATCACTCTGCTGCCTGCTACTGGCTTTGGACACTTCCACGCTTTCATCACTGCGATCAAAAGGAGCCATGCACATGAGAGCTACGCGCGAAAAAGAGGACCCGAAACGAACAAAAACTGCTCTGTGCCGTGTCTCACTCCGCAGGGGGACACGCAGTGGACCCGTCGAAGTGGGCTTCTCAGACCAGAAAGCGCCTTCGAGCCGCCTGGGCGAAGCGGCGATGTCGCGAAGCGCTAAGCGCGCGGCTGGGGACGCGGGACCAGGATCTATCTAAGCGTGGCGAAGTAATTGTGTTGCCCATCACAAAAAGACAACGAAACCCCCAACGTGGGGAGTAGGGTGTTCGAGTACTTCACGCACAGCTGCTTCAAAAAAGTGAATTGCTTGGCACAGCAAACACGTGTTCCTTTGGTTTGGGGTCACCCGTTGAACCCCCCCGAAAAAGCTGCAGCTCGTACAGCCCCAAAACCACTGCCCCCCACGCCCAACCGAAGCCCAAGACCACTCCCTTCCCCGGCCTGGTTGGACGAGCTGGAGGACGTCCGCGCCGGACCTGCAGGATCGAAATCCGTATGTAAGGCACTTGTTACTACTAGCGTGGCACTTGTTACTACTAGCGTGGCACTTGTTTCTACTAGCTTCTTGTTACTACTAGTAAGGCACTTGTTACTACTAGCGTGGCATGATTTCTACTAGTGGCACGAATCACTACCTTCACTTGGAATATGTTGGGAAATCGTGCCACTACTCACTACTGGTCACTAGTACTACCTATTTGGGCGAGCACGTTCTTTTTTGTGCCATAGTTTCCACCTGGCCACTTAGTGTCCTTCTGCAAGTTTCTATAAGTAACAGCCATGATGTCAATGTCCTTTGTGGAATAATAGAGGGGATCAATGCCGGGCAAAACAGACCGACTTGGTTGTACACGACCGAGGGTATCCCCTCAATTCATGAACCAACGAATACAGTATATATATAGTTTTTCGACGGAGGGATTGATGGCGATCTTGAGGAATCCAAAATAGTTGTGGTGGTCGGTGTATCAGTCTATCGCAAGATCGTTGCCTATCCTTTCAATTCTGGGTGTTGACATACGAACATGCGTAGCTGGATCAGAGGTTGCTTACTGTCTAGACGATGTCTAGACCAGGTAGAGCGAACTAACAACCTTAGATCTTTTTGCAATTGAGAATCTCAGCCTGGAGTTTTGGCCATCTTGGGTGAAGTGCGATGGCCAACTCCTAGTTAGGAGTCTCAGGGGCCTCGGAGATTTGTTAATTTCATAGTAATTTCATTCATAGGTGCCATTTGCTACTATAGTAGTAATGCCAGGAGCTACGTTCGTAGCGTCCGATCGCTCCGTTCGTAGCGATGGCCTCCAACCTGCTTGCGATGGCCTCCACCGAGCATAGCGTCCTTGTTACTAGTAGCTTCTTGTTCCTAGTAGTAAGGCCAGGAGCCCCTAGTAGCGTCCGATCGCTCCTAGCAGCGATGCCAGGAGCCCCTAATAGCATCCTTGTTACTCGTTTGTAGCTCCTCCAGTCTCCCCGCCTCGGGGAGAAGCAGCGTCCCGGTGGGCCGGTTGATAGGACTGGGCCTTCTGCTGCTGCTTCAAGCCCTCTTGCTGCCTGGGAAGAGAGAACCCTGTGACATGACATGACACACGTCATCTTACTCCCAAATCCCCCACTTCATTGGATCATCCCATCCTCTGACGAAAGGTGTTGCACCTCTGCAAGAGCTTCTGCAGCTTTTGCAGCTGTTCGATTTGGTTCTGCAGCTGCTGCGCAGATTGCGCTTCCGGCTCATCCTCAAAGAGCTCCTCGTGAGGACAACATGGCACATGTGAGTCGTCTCATTTTTCCGAAACTCGGCTCCCAAGTTCCCCTCCCCTCACCTTCAGCAAGGGCTTGAAGTCCGCAATCCGACGCCTGGGGCTGCCCTTCTGCGCCCTCGCACCCCGCGCCATTCCGGGCACCGCGACCACCGCCGCCGCGCGTGGCGACGCGACCACCGCGGTCAGCGGCTCTGAGCGCTCGAGGCGCGCGCGGGCGGTCAGTGGACAGGCGATGGAACGACGCACCTGGAAGGCGGAGGCGGAGAAATGTGAGATCTCAATGGGCACAGGGGTGGTGAGATGTGCAGAGATCCAGAGTGGAAAGCCATGAGAAATCTTGAGAAGTCATGGGAAGTGAAGTGGGTGGTAGAAAGGCTTATGGGATGGTTCTGTTTGACCCCTCAAGTCATTGAGAAACAGAAACACTGAAAACACAAAGACCCTGCCTCACGCGAAGGTGTGTTCAACTGCTGGATGACCACTTGTGCCAGGGATGGCACAGGCTCAGGCGACCTCAATCGTTCAATGAAGAGCTGAGATTCAATGCAGCTGGACATCCCCTATCTTCAGAAGTGAAAAAGCATCGAAAAGTGTTTGGAAGAATCAGAATCATGTCCCCCCATTAGGATCTTGTGCTTGCACCACCAGCAACAAGCAGTGAACTTCCTTACGTTTGCTCTTCCGCCAACATGTGTTCAGCGGACCACTTGGTCAGTCTTTGTCCCTCCCGACCCTGCCGCGTTCAGCGGCATTCCAAGCAACCCGCCCCCGTGCAATGTGGAGGTGTGTAGCTAAGTCTTCGGGAGACCGAGCCCCATTTCGAACCCCCTGGAAGAAGGAAAGTAGACGTATAAGACCAATTAATTGGGAGATCCCCCTATCATCACACCCAAATGGGGAAACCTGAGTGGATGTCGAAAACAGTTCGACTGGCGGGTTGATCTGCCAGATCCCTTCAGATGCGTATCACACCCACGGGCAGGACATGCACCGGCATCTGCTGTGGTCCCCCACTTGGTCGTCGTTAGGAGCGATGGCACCGAGCAGGACTGCGCAAAGAATCGAGGCATGCTGCAGCTGCCAGGCCTGGATCACAGTCCAACGTCATGGGTTTTAGAGTGCCTTCTCCGTCACCTGATCACTGCAAGATACCATAAGTCAAGACAATGACTTTTGCATGTCCTTTTGTGCAAGAATAGAGGGGTCAATGGAGGTACCACTGTTCCAATAATAGGAGCAAGAAGCTACTACGAGCAAAGGGCATCGCTAGGAACGTAGCGATCGGACGCTACGATCGTAGCTCCTGGTCTTACTACTAGGAGCAAGAAGCTACTAAAAGGCCATCCACATCAGAAGATAAAGTCACCCAGTCACTGAGGCTGCTGCTGCCGCTGCAGTCCTGAAACCGGGTCGACCTGCGGTCTGTGTGTCAAGTCTCGTCCGTCGTCCCTACTGCTGTGATGTGCCACCCGATCAGATCTGGGTGTCCCTGTCTGGTCCAATCTGGCTTTGGGGGTGGGGGGGAAGGATCATTAACGGATCCATCAGTGCCAAAGAAGCATTCATGGTGGCCGGGGCGACCCCAGTTCCACATGTTGTCGAAGATCATTCTATGACCCATGGTCGTTGTGATGACTTGCCTGACTCAAGTCACAACCAAAAATGCCAACCTCCTCCCCAATTCACCTGAGACAGACAACTTCGATGTCGGCGTCGGACGTCCCTTTTCTACGGCACGCGCAGGATTAAATGAACACCTGACATGGTCGACACAATCTCGGAGACCTGACCCACCTGGAGGCCGAACGCTGCGTCCTCGAAGGCCAGCTCCCGCTGTCCCCGTCCAAAGCGTCCATAGTCCCCGCCCTTCTTGGCAGATGCACAATCAGAATCGCTTCGGGCGAGATCGGCAAATCTGGCACGCAACTCCTCACCGCTTAAGCCCACCAGCTGGTTTGCAATCTCTTCCAAGTATTGCTCAGCCTGCAGCTTGCTGCACGTGATCGGCTGCCCTCCACGGTTTTTGGGTTTTCGTGACTCTTTGTGCTTCCTAAGGATATGCAGCACGTGAACCTCTTCTGCTTCCGCATCATGGACGACCGTCTCCACTGCAATACTTGGCGCCTGCGCGCGCTGCGCATCGGCCTCTTTCAAGAGACCCAGGAGTCCCAGTCCTCCGCCGTTGTCTTCGGCCGGCGTCAGCCGCGCGGCCGGCGCGACGTCGATTTGCCGTGGACATTTGGCCGCTGGAGCGGTGTCATCGGCATTCATCTGGCGGGAAAGGGCCACCAACGAAGACAGAAGACGGCGGGGTTGGTCACACCACCTACGACCTACCTACACCATGCTACCGACATCTATACCTACTGACGACCCAAAACATGACAGACTGCTGAAGACATGGGGAAATCAATCAGATGAATCCCCAAAGACACATGGCGTTGGGCGAGTATTAGAACAGCCCTCGACCCCACCTGGCCGCAGCTCATGATCGTCACCTTCTTCGCGACACGGCCCGACCTGGAGCCCAAGGTTTCCATCTTTTCGACTACCTCAAAGCCCTGGACCACTTCTCCGAAGACCACATGCTTGCCATCCAGATGTGGAGTCGCATCTAAACAAATGAAGAACTGAGAACCATTGCTGTTAGGTCCGGCATTGGCCATGGACAGGCAACCTTTCTTGTGTTTCAGCTGGAAGTTCTCGTCTTCGAACTTTTCCCCGTAGATGGATTCGCCACCTGTTCCGTCCCCACGAGTGAAATCGCCCCCCTGACACATGAAGGAAGGAATGATCCGATGGAAAGTAGAGCCTTCGAAGCTCAAGCGTTGCTTGGTTTTGCTGCTCCGGCCCATTTCACCGGAGCAAAGACATCGAAAGTTCTCCACGGTGCGCGGAACGACATCTGCAAAGAGGTCGAACTCAATGCGCCCAATCCACGCCCCATCGACCGCAATCTCGAAAAACACCTGCACCACGTTCTTCTCAAGAGGCTTCTCCGGAACCGGCGGAGCAGAAGGCTCCACGCCCATCCGCGCGAGCACCGCTGCCTTCTGCTCCGCCGCCACACGTGCTTGCTCCTCCACCTGCCCACGGGGCCGATCGGCGGGCGACCCTGACCTCACGCCACTCCGGGCACTGGGCATCTCCGCTTCATCCAGGCTGGCGTCCGGGACTCCTTGGACTTGAAGCTCTTCAGGAGCTTCGTTGTCCTCGTTGTCCTCGTTGTCCATGTTCAGGACCATCTCAAGCATGTCCCTGCGCATTTGCTCCTGGCCTTCGGGCGGCGCATTGTCATAGACTTCCATGATCTCAGCCTTGTACTCAGGCGGAGGACCATCTCCGGTCCGGGCCGAGCGCTGGATCCAGGCGTCGATGATCTCGCCGAAGGAGGCCGAGCCATCCAACGGCCGGACGGCGTCCCGCGCGTCCGCGTCCACGGTGCGGTTGGGCGCGGCAGCGACGGCGGCATCTGGAACGGCTTGGTCTGGAGGGTGCGCATGGTGCACTTGGCGCTCTGCAGGCAGCTCTTCCGTTGCGGCAGTGGAGTCTTGCACCTCCTTCTCCTCCTCGGAGTCGGAGTAATAGTTTAAGCCATGCATTTTGGAGGCGCCTGGAATTTGAATCTGTTGAATTGCTACAGGTAAGACAATTGGAGTGCAGAATGTGTTGCATACAAGTACTGTTCCAGAATGGATTGCTCTTTCCTTGTTGGTAAGTTGCCACTCTTGTGCGGGGTGTGCGGGAAGCTGTGCTGTCCAAACCTCCAGCTAAAACATCTGGCCGAATCTGGGATCTTCAAGACTGTACTATCTCAAACAAACAGTGCTTCATGTTGAAGAGGATGGATGCAATGCTGGTCGGGGTTTTGCTTGTAACTTGTTGTGACTTGTTCTGTATGGTGCTGGCTGAACATTCTGAGCCAGCAAGCTCTGCAACAAAAAGCGAGCTACGACTGGCAAAGTAACAGGCTGGTTCCAGTATAGATATCCACTACTTCAACTCAAAGTCCGTCCACTTGGCACCTTCTACTCTTGACAAGAGACAACTCGAAGTCCACCAACAAAGCAAGACTTCCATGCTTTCAACTGGGGCATTTCCTCAAACCGAGGCTGAGTCGCACCACACCCAAACAGACCAGTTCTGCAAATGTTATTGCAACAATCACGATGGAAGTGAGATCAATTGATCCAAGCAGAGTTGTTTGTTGGGCCAACAACGCGAAGAAAAGGTCTCGGCTGGTGAAAAGGGAATCTCCCAAAATCTGCGTTGCACGTGGAGCGCTCAACTCTGTCTTTCACTTTGGTGATATAGAACAATACTAATTACGGCACAAACACAGCAACCCATGCAAACCTGATGGATTGAGCACCATACCCTTCTCATCCTTCTCCTTCTCAGTCACTGTGTGTGTAAAGGCATGTCGCAATTGCTTTCTTGCACCACCCGCACATCAAAACGCGCGTGAGGTTTGTCCCGTCTGGCGCACCGTGGCGGGAATTCCGGGTGCCAGCGCTACGGTCGGAACTCCAATGGGCCTTGCCGGAGGCGATCAAGATCCACCTTTTCAGTTGAGCCCTTCAGGAAAAGAAGCCAATAATAATAGCCATCCCACCAATCCCTAGTCAGCACAGTTGAAATCTGCTTGTCGTATGAATCACTGGAAGAAATATCAGTATGTCGTACACTGAAAGAAGGTGAAGGATGCACTGTCCCATTGCAAACGAAATCTTCTCAGATCCAAAACCTGTTTAGCGCAAAACCCGAGTCAATCAGAACCAGCTGAAAAACTCAGATTTGAGCGCTTCCCTGCCAGTCCCCACCTGTCTGGAGTTCCCAGCCCTGCCGGAGAGGAGCTCCTGCAGTCGGTGCAACCGGTGTGCAAGAACCTGGACGCGTCATGGAGTCATGGCAGTGTAATAGAGAAGATATATAACTCTATGTACTTACAAACCCGAACTTGGCCCAAAACTCAGAACTTCTTGAGCCCCAGATCCTGTCCATCCGGGCTCCTGGGCATCCGAGAGGCGTAGGCGATGGGCACCGAGACGGTGTAGGCGCCCCTGGACGAAGAGGAACCAGGGGTGGAGAAATGGCTGGAGACGTCGCCCATTTGAGAGATGCCCAGATTTAGAGAAACTGTTGACTTCAATGACTGGCTTGCAAGCATCATTCAACCTAGTTAGCTAGAGCGACATCTAGTGAAGGATAAAGTCAGTCTGCAGCCTGAAAAGATGTACTAAAACTTGTGGATTGGTGGTTCTGTTCCCTTAGGGGAGTGGGAACTTCATGATCGAATCTCCAGCAAGTCACACTGTCGCTAGCTAGCAGTGGATCTGAGAGATCCAAATGTAGTTGCACACTGAGAGTTCAAAATACCCTTGTTGCACACCTACATATATTATATAGTGGGCCCCAAATAGATAGTGGCACGGTTTCCAATATGTTTTTAGAAACGGGATCTACTTTTCTATCTATATGTGTATAGGCATATACAACAACCCAACTATGCCACCCAAAAACCATGTGACCCTCCCTACCTGGGGCTCGCCAGCGGCATGCTGGCCGAGAGGTCCGGCACCGGCGGCACCTGGCTCCAAACCAAACCCATCACGACAACAACATGCATCTTAGGGAGATCAAATGCAGGAACTAAGTGAGAACCAAACGCCAGAGTGGCGTTTCTAAAGCGTTGCACTGCATCAAGAGTTACGGTTCAGTTTTCAAAGTCGTGTGGCTCAGGCGTCTGGCTTTGCGCAATTCTGGTCGTCCCACAATTCTCGCCCGCTCCACTGGTGCCAATGGAGCGCTCGGGGGCCTTGGTCGGAGGCCACTCGACATGGCGGACTCAACACTGGAGGGCGTGACTTCTTCCTGGACCAGCCCAAGCATGGCCCAACCATGGCCCAGTGGACTCTGAAGGCTGGAGGCGCTTGATTGGACCCTTTTTTTGTGAACTCGTTTTAAAGGAGAAAATGAGTCTTCTGCATGAAGGGCATGGCTTTGCAATCTCAAAAACATGTAAACACCAACAATAATAATTAGAAGTGCAAGTGTTGGGGAACCGATGGTGGACTTTCCGTGGACTTTCCGACGCGGCTGGGCTGCTATGCCGCGCTTTTCTTAATGTTTTGTCCGCATGTAGGTTTGCCGCACATACCTGAACCCCAAACATATTGGGAGAGGATCATTGAGAGGACACAACTTTTAGTTTAGGTCAATTGAAGAAGCTTCCACTGGAATCCCCCAATCGACCACAAATCTCAACGAACGGGAAGGAAGCATCCTCAACGAACCAAAAGCCAGCAAGCTGAAGGGAAAAAAGGAAACGAAAAGCCGAAACAGAGCGACACCCACTTCGTCAAAACCGAATGACCCCTCCCCCCTTCCTTCATCCACCGGATGCACAGTGGGCACCCGAGCGGAACCACTGTCGCCCGCACAACCCTCTGTGGAGGGCCAGTCTGAAGAGGAGCTGAGGCAAAGGCCTAAGGGGTCCGGACTCTTTTAATTCAGTTGGCTGCTAGAAAAATACCCAGCTAGAAGACTACACCCTGCTTACAACAAATACTATAACTCATGCCATCAGATACGATAGGATGTCAACCGACCATGGTCTAGTGGAGGAGGTCTTGACTCACATGTAAAATGAAGTTAAACGGCTAATGAAAATGGGCACGGGAAAAATGGGGCTCCACACCGATGCGTCGCTCGCTGGAGCCTGCGTTCATGGGCACAACAGCCATTGGTAGGAAAGAAAGAGGCCAGGTTCCGAATACATGCGGAACCGACCTTCCTAGGCAAGTGGAGGTGTCGAGACAATTGCCTTTGTCTCAAGCATTTTGATCAATAGACTCCCAATCAGAAGACTTCCAACTTGCAACCAGGCCCCATTCGATTGAAGAGCCATTCTCCTCTAGGATTTGGGACCAATCCCAACCCTCCCAAGCGCCTCACCAGCAGTGGTTTTCCGGTCGGCCCGGGCACCTATACCTGGCGCGCCAACCCATTTGGACAATCCAATGATCCCCACTCCTTTGAGGGGGGACCACCCATTTGACCACTTTCTGGGTGCAACCAGCTCAAGATGATCCTCATGCCCCCAAAAGCGGATTGCTGCAAAGGAACAATGACCACAAACTGGTAGACACTTGTAAGGGTTTCGAGGGCCAAGCATTGGTGTGATCTCTCAACAACACCAAGCTTGTGACTTCCCAACCAAAAAATTCAACGCATCAGGCTGACCGACCACGACCACATCCAGCAATGCTGTGACCGTTAGGAAACTTGCAGCGTCCAAAGCCTAAAGAAATCGCAAATGAAACCGCTTGGAGTTTGGGCCAAATCGCGCGAGACGCCCACCCGCCCCCCATCATGCCGCAGCCATGCGCGGGCCTGGCTTGCCTGGCTTCGGCACGTTTGGCCTGGGAAGCGCTTTGGCTTTGGCCTTGCCTTTGGCACCTGGCCGACGCCAAGACTCTTCGGTTCCTTTCATGTATTTTTCATGTGTACCGGGCCGTACGGGCAGTTCGAGTTCGGGGAAATGGTTCCCTCAACGTCGCTCCATTTTCCCGGCTGGAAGAAGCAGGACTTCAATCTACCTCATCCATCCCACCCAATGACCCACGCACCCACCTGCACCACCTCTTCTTTGCACATCCGTCTTCCGCGAGAGCTCCAGCGGCGTAATCATCCGACACGCCGACTTCGAGGCCGTCAAGCATTCCGGATCGCCTGCGACCGAGGCGGCTTCGCCGGCGGCGGCTTCGCCGATGTTTCGCGACCGTGTCGTCCAGGCAAAGGTCACCGTATGGGAAACTCAGGTGATGTATGAGTGTTATGATAGTTGCAGTTGAACATGCAGATCGACATCCGCATCCGCTGCTTATTCAACACAGAGTCCAACCAGCTGCTGATCTGCCATCGCAAAAAAGGAAACGGCCGACGAAAAGGTCACTGAGACGGGGACTTCCGGCATCTTCTGCTTCGATGCCGGTGCTCTGGCTCTCATTCTCCTGCGTTCTGAGCCATCCATCCTTTTAGGCTAAAGGGTGGAACATCAAGCGAAACTATCGGCGACATCTGCACAATCCTTGCACTCGAACCCTCAAGATGCCTTGCTTTCGGTGCCGCTGGCGGCAGAAAGGACTCCTTCCGGATTGTCCCGGATCACGGTGCCCTGCATCCACCCGATCTCATCCACTGGACTCGGTGGTGCCTCGGAATTCTCTTTGTTCCTCTTCATGCCTTGGAATTCTCAACACTGGACACGGCAGATCGAGGAGGAAGACCAAAAGGAACAGATCCAGGTCCTGGACTGGTCCGGCACCTATTGGTTAATCTAGGGATCAAAATGGGTTGGACATACCAGGAGTTTGCAGTCTTTAGACCCACCAAACTGAGGAGAGTGTGGGTCAGCGTGGGTTATATACTCCAGTCTATTCAAGTGAAAGTAGTTCTCACACCAACTAGAGTTTGCTGAGCAAGAAAACTGGTCAGTCAGCCTGTCCTATACCATGAAATGTAGACTCTTGATTTAAAATCCTCTTCATATGGGGGGGTTTAATAATCAAGAGTCTAGAGTCTACATTATGTATCTGTCACTCAGATTTCCTGGCATCCCAGAAGATCAAGACAGAAAAGTGGAATCCCTTCGACCCTCTCCTAGTCGCTACTTTTCACCTAACCATCAAAAGACCTCCACCGCTCTCCTTGAGCTCCCCTGGTCCCCACGCCCATCCCCTCTCCGGGCCGCCCAAACGGTACGAGAGCGGCGTCACAAAGCGCTGCACGTCCTCGGAGCGTCCAGGAGCGAGGAGGGCGGTGCACTTGGGATGAAGGGGGGGCCTCTCAGGTTGCAGACCTCTTTTGGGCAGGGACCTCATGTTTGGGACCTGCTGATGGGTGGAGCTGAGTGAGAATTCTGCCACTTGTATCACTTGTTGACCTCACTCCATCCAATTGAGCAGTAATGCACGAGATCTGGATGGTTCTATGAATGGTGAAACAAACACAGTTGTTTGATCTCGCAGTGTCCACAATTCTCTCCCCCATCTGGACGTCGACAAACAGCCGATTCCCAAAACCCACAAGAACTTCGCACTGAGAGCTGCACTACATCACCTGGTTCGAATGACTGGTGCCAAAACGTTCAAAAACTAAAAATAAAGCACATCTGGATCAAACTGCTGAAAGCAGCACCCTTCTCTCTCCCACTGCTTGCTGCTTCAGTGGCGCGTGGGCTTCGGTCGAGGCGTCACCACGGCGGGGCAGGGCGTGGAGGACGACATCGCGGAGGACCGGGGCCACGCGGGGCCACGGGGCCCGAAGGGCGTGGCGAGAGGCGGGGGGCGGAAACGGCGATGCGGACGGCAGGCTGTGAGGCATGATTTCATCTTCATCTTGAATCTGAAGATGAGAAGTGATGGAGAGTCACAGAAGGAACTGGTGGGCTGCTATCGAATGAGACACCTGCATGATCTGTGATTTGGCTTTGAGCCAGAAAGCAGAAGAAGAAAGCCCTTTCCCACTCTGAAAGCACGGAAGAGTGTGACTTGAAAAAAAGAAAACAGCAATGCAACAAGGGCCCTTCGTTTTGTCTCTTGAACCAACAGAACAGTTGCTGACTTGTCATAGCCACTCGCAAATCAGCCATCAGGGCTGATTAAGCCACCCAAGCCACCCCCCACCTGCGCGGTGCCCGCAGCCGCAGCGCCCCGCGGAGCTGGACTGGCTGGAGCGGGCGACAAGGTGATGCCCACCATGAAGACTTGCCTTTTGCCACCCAGCCTGAAGGCAGTAAGAACCAAGACACGCAGTTTCGTGTGCATTCTTGAAGCAAAATGAGGGAACAGCTTGTGATGCTAGTGTCTTCAGCACTTTTCCATGGGCCTCACCCCCATGTGCATCCTTGCCTTTGGCCATCCGGCACCGGGAGCAGCTCCCCACTGGGGTTCTCCACCACCATGCGACCTGGGACAAGTCCCAACCCACCGACGAAACCAGGCGGTGCCACACTGCGCAGCCCAAGGCGCCGTTCCGCGTGACTTCCGGTCGCTTCAGCTTCGCAGCCTTGAGAAGGCGGTTTAGGTTCGGAAGTCATCTGGATGATCCAAGAGCATCAAGAGCTCTAGAACGAAATATGTTGTTTCAAAAACACGATTGTTGATACTATATATATATATATATTATACTGCAATATACTGTATTTATACCAAATTAATATAGACAATACCAGTACGTGGAATGAACGTCTGAGGCTTTCCAACCTCAACTCCTGTTGTTCCCTGGGAGACGCGCTAGAGCTTCCTTCACTTGTTTCATCGTGGAGCTCGCAGGCACCGTCACTTCCTCAAAAACGCACGGCCAGGCACATCCAAGGAATGGAACTCCTGAACAGCCATGAACAGCCATGAACACCCCTCCTTACCATCCATCCCCTGCTTTTTTCTGTTGGCTCTTGCGAAAAAGCGAAAAAGGCCAAGCGCAGGACCACGGAATCCCGGTCGGTGGGGTGGGTGATCGTCACCTCTACGTCGGACGAACGAGGGGAAGCGGAGCCAAGTGGCGGAGCCGACTGGCGCAGCAAGTGGAGGGATCACACAACGCAGCCATCGTGCAGTTAGAAGGTACGGTGGTCTATCAACCAGTTCGGCAACCGGCCTGGCAGAACTGACCGCTTGGATCGCAACATGCACCAGAAACTTCTGAGTTCGAGTTCGAGTTCGAGTTCGAGCGGGGCACACTATGCAAACTTCTGAACTTCTGACCAAGAAAATCAGACCTTGAAATACCAACATCACAAGGACCAACACATATACTTTACTGCTCAATCTCCCATCTCCATCCATCCACCATCCATCAATTCCTCAGTACCTCCCCCTATCTGCCGGCCTGTACATCCACCTCCGCGACCTGTGCAGCCTCTGCGGCCGAGGAGGTCTGCTTCAACGCACCGGCCTTGGACCCAAAGAGGTCCCCCGGCTGGAACTTCAGCTGCCTCACCGTCGAAGACAGACCGATCCCGCGAAAGGCACGAACGCCGTGAAACGAAGGGAAACACGGTATAAGACCAAATTATGACCAATTTAATCCAACTTAGCACACCACCTGGAACACTCGCACTTCTGGACAAGAGAATCTCTTCCAGTATCTTCCTCTCACTTCTTCCATTTGCCCTTCTCCCACCACGCCTCTCGACCTCCTCTGCCAGTCTCCGAATTCCAGGATCGGACTGGTGGGCACGCACCTTGCGCTGAGAGAAACCCTAGTTAGTTCGACTACGCCCTGGAAGAGTGGTCGACTGGTTGGTAGAGGAAAACCATCGGATCCAGGGGGCCCAGACAGGGTCTATGTGAGTGACATCGAAACTATCCCCTAGCTACCGAGCTAAGGTTGACGGAGTCTGAGCTTGTGGCCGCACTGAGCATTTCAGGGAAGCCCCACTGGTCGATGGTAAAGCCGGCAGCCTGGTGGGCGAAGCGAGAGTGTAGATCTGCCCGTCTGAAGAGGCACTCATTATGGAGAAGGTCCAGGTTGGTTTGGTCCCTCTCCGCCAGAAAAATGACAATCAAACTAGAGTTGTGGTCAAAGAATGAGGTAAAGCCTCCAAGCTGCATGTCACTCCCACTGTTCCACCCTCCCCTCTTTCCGCAGCCCGCTTTGCCCTGCCACTCCCACCGCCTTCAGCGAGGACTTCCAGGCCATCGCCAGAAGCCGAGCGACCGCCTCGCAGACCACACCCACCGCGCCCGCTGGTAGGAACTTCTACTGAAGATCGTTGTGTTCATGTTTCCATAAAGTGCCACCCATCAGCATCTGGACTTCTGAATGAGGAGTCAAAGTGTAGCTCCGTAGCACAGAGCTCACTCATTTCGGTCGCCTCGCGCTTCTTCAAGGCCCCCCATCCTCGACCACGCAGGTTGGTCAATGCCTGGAGTTTCAAAACAGAACCAGATGAATTTTTGCAACCTCGCAAGTCACTGAGTAGCAACCCACTTTGCGTGTGTTGGAAAACTGATCTCTTCAAGTCTTCAACCAGCTTGATGCCACAAAAAAGAGTAGGGTCCCACGCTTCTATCCGCTCGGCTTGGCAACCGTCTCGACCAAACCAAAAAACGACTCCTGACCGCGACGCGACTCGTGCCTTTTGGAAGTCGGCCTGTCCGCTCGCTGATCTCAAAGACCTCGAGGTCGATCATCGACAGGATGGCACATCCGTTGCCATGAGAAATCCTGTTTCTTGTGGGTGCATTTAATGTCATTTGCCATGGTCCCCAATGGTCGCCCATTCATGTTTGGTTCCTTGGAGACCTCTCAAACAACCATTCTCACCATCCTGAGGGCAGCTCTCTAAGAGCCTCTTCGCCTCGTCGGCATTCAACGACTTCGCTGTGCGCCTCTCTTCTCGGGAGTTCTTGGGAAACCAAGGAACGCTGCCATTGGGAGAACGGAACCGCTGAAAGAGATTCTGCTTCTAAAATCTTCTATTTAAGGTGATTGTGCAAAAAGAAAAATGGCCAACAAAATGTATGAAACGCAAATCAGCAGGGTCTTGTACCTTCTTGCTGAGTTGCACTCGATACTTCAATCTACTCTTGTTGGCGGTCACTCATGCCTGATCAAGTTCCTCGAACCGGAAGTAGCATCCCTTAGTCACATTAGGCTAACCCTCATTGATCTCACGGATTCCTGCTGTCAAGCACCCCATCTATGTATGGGGGCAGGGATATAGATCAAATCCAACAGATCAAATCCACGTGTGGCTCAAAAACTTTGGGAAGTCTTCTGCGGAACGTTTCCTCAGCATCCGGACCCTGGTTTCGCCGCCTCCGCCTGAGTCGATGGGTCCTTCAAAAATCCTCTTTTGCACAGACGCCCTGCTAGCTGCCAAATGCTGCCAGCTCCAGTCCCAGACTAGGAAAAAGCGGAGGTCCGAACCAAATTTCCGTGGTGCATACATGCGTCGTTCGTTTCCAAAACAAACACACAATTACAGAATGTTCAGAGTTACTACGGCCCTTCCAAAAAAAACCTTTGCGGAGCTTGAATGCATTGCTGGCCTGGCTCGCAGTCTTTTGGAAGGCCGAGAACGCCCCACCGCGGCGGCTCATGGCAGAGTCTTCAGCGACAAAGCTGGCATGAGGCTCAATTAAGGAAGTTCAGATATTGGGCTAAAGTTCGGTTTTTCGGTAGAATGTAGGGTTAGTGGAATTTGGCTTCACTTCTGGCTCAAGAATTTTGATGCCTTCCTACCACTTTAGGTAAAAGGACAAGGTGTCACAATGCCCAGCGCGCCATGGCTTGTCGCGCTGGTTTCGATCAGCGTGGGGCCACTCGCAGCTTTGGAGGGGCCGCGGGAATGGTTCTTCTCAACTGAAATGGTGGTGGAAAAGAGCGAGGTTCCCTCGCCTAAGCCTCAGTTTCGGGGGGAGGAAGATGAACCGTTGCCTGGTCCAGGCGCAACTGAAACGCTGCAAGGGCACGCATACTTTTGGGGCTTCTCCGAGTTCCGCTTCGACCTCTACTCCTGGATAGGGCCCGCATGGTTTAGTACCCCGGGGCAAGCTGGGAGTTTGAGCTCCACAGGCGGATGGGGGCTATATGCCTTAGATAAAATCGGCGTGTTAGCTTGCGGCGATTTCTGGCCTTGGGTTGGATGGGGAGTGCTCATCGTGCCCTCTATGTGGCCGTCTCGGTATGCCGTCCGGTCCGGACGCTGTTGACCTGCTGCTGCAGGCAAACTCGTGCGGTGGCAACCGAGGTTGGGGAGTTCCTCCCTGAATTGAGGGTTCGTGGAACCTATGAATCCCTAGCCTTCAGGGGTCCATCCACTCAGAGTGGGGTCGATCGACTCCGAGTTCTTCCAACGAGGAGTTAAAGGCAGAGGATCTGAAAGAAAACCAAATGACTTAGTGGTCTCTTTGGACGAACAGATTGCGAGGATCAAGCCTGACGGAGACCACTGGGCTCGAGTAGACCGACATGGTCTGTGGGTGAAAATCCGGGAAGTGAAAGGAGCTACCTCCAGGCCAATTCGTCACAGTCTAGAGACGGAAAGCAAAGTGCACTTGCGCCGCGAGCAGAATTGCCCATTGGAGCTCATGCCCACCCCTGGGATCCATTGCAAGACTTATGCAGTGGTGGATGCAAATGGTCTGGTCGATCTTGGGGCCTACGCGGGATGGTCCACCCGTCGTCTGGTAGTGTTGTTCGGAAGATGTTTGAGACGATTGCTCAGTGGTTTGCATGCGCTCATCTATTACGGATCAGGTTTCTTTCTCCTGAAGCGTGCCTGGAAGCGACCAGCCCCAGCTAGAGTCATTCGGGAAGGAACAAACGTGAGAGCTCTCGACCCTGACTCCGAATCCGAGATGGAGACTCTCGAAGACCCGTGCGAGGCGGTCCTAATCGGGCTCGAAGTTGGGGGCAGACCTCGAGCTTTGGCAGTAGACCCCTGCGCCGACAAGGCGACTGGGGAGGGAGTCCGGCTATTAGAGAGGGACCGTGAATTGTCCGACATCTCTAATCGATGCACTGCCCGTCTGTGTGACCACCACCGACAGCTGTACATTGCGGCTTGCTCCGGACGGAAATGTAGCGTTCTTTCTTGCCATGAGCAAGTGGATGGGGCTAAACAAGGGGTTCCCCTTTGTAGAAAACACTTGATGGAAATCGGCTCTTCCGCCCGCCCTACCCGCAGAATCAGCTGGAGCGAGGGGCCGGATGATAGCACGCCTAGGACGCCACACCGGGACTCCGACGTCGTGCACCAAAGCCCAAAAGGGGAACAGCTTGACAAACCTCCGGTTCGACCTCCCCGTTCAAAAAGTCAAGAGAGAGGCATTCGCAACAGAGCGCGCGCCGCTTCAGCAGGACCTCAATCCAGCCAACAACATCAACTTGAGGGGTCCCTCCAGCAGGGCTCAGTATTGGTACTGCTCCGCTTCAGGTCCTGTCAGAAACCTGGAGGCCCCCCCCCGGTGGGTGGCATATTTTGGTAGTCTCCAAGGAGTCTCAGCTGATAGCCGCGTGCAAGAAAAGGTAGATGTCTTTATGCCCGGACTTGGCTTGACTGGAGTGGTCCACGCCAGTGCCCTTCAGGCTGCTCCAGCTGAGGATGCGTCGGGAAGGTTTAGTCGTCAATGAATTTCAGATTTTCTCTATGGATCCCATGACCACCTTGTAGGGCAAGGCCTCTCAATGGCAGTCAGCAGGCTCCAACCTCACCAGGCGGATGCCTTAGGAGAATGGGAAGGGAAATCAGGTATCCTGTCAGAGACCCTACGCCAGAGAGTTAGAGAAGACGGGCAGAGAGAGATCTT